TTCAGTGAATTGAGCATCCCTGGTCCTCAGCTTCCTTCTCCATTAAATAAAGGAGTTGGATTAGGTAGTTTTTCTGGTCCTTTCCAATTCTGATCCTCTTATGATTATAGGATTAATCAATCAGCATTTATTAGGTGCCTTACTGGCTCTGACATTTATTATTTGGCATCCACTTAACCTGGATGAGACTCAGTTTCCTCATCTGTAAAATTAAGGGATTGTGCCAGACACTGGGGTTATGATGATCATAAGAATTAAATAGTCCAATAATGCAGGTGAATGTCTTTGAATTAGAAATGGTTCCTATAATTTTCCAATCCCACACAAAGCTGAGAGAGAGGCTCATTTGAGCTCCAGACTCACGTCCTACCTGGGCTGACAACATGGACGTTAGAAGTGGACATGAAATATGTACAAAATTAACATGAGATAATTTAGAGGGAATGGGCAGCTAGGTGGTGCAGTGGGTAGAGTACCAGACCTGGAGGCAGGAATACTCATTTTTGTGAGTTCTAATCCGGCCTCAGACACTTACTAGCTGTGTGACCCTGGATGAATCTCTTAATCCTGTTTGCCTCAATTTCCTCATCTATAAAATGAGCTGGAGAAGGGAATGGCAAACCACTCCAGTATCTCTGCCAAGAATACCCCAAAAACGAGGTCACAAAGAGTCAGATATAACTGAAAAATGACAATGTTCAACAATAAATTTTGAGGTAAGGGGAGGCACTTACAGCTGGGGGAAAAGGTCAGGAACAGATTGGTGAAGGAGGTGGCCTTTGAGTATCTTCTTTAGACACTCTTGTAATAATTACCAATGGCACAGATACATGCATACATACATACAGAGAGAGAACACTTTAAAGTTTGCAAAGTGCTTGACACATTTTTTTTTGGCTAGGCAGTGGGGTTAAGTGACTTGCCCAGGGTCACACAGCTAGTGTCAAGTGTTTGGTCTGAGGCCGGATTTGAACTCAGGTCCTCCTGACTTCAGGGTCGGTGCTCTATCCACTGTGCCCCCTAGCTGCCCCTGAATCCTTTTTTTTTTTAAAGAAATTAAAGTTTTTCAATTAACAAGCACTTATTTCCCTTCGTCTTATCTCTCTCTTCCTCCCAATTAAAAAAGGAAAAAGAAAACCCTCATAACAAATATATGGAGTCAAGTAAAGAATGTTCCATTGTCGGCCATGTCACAAAATGTTATGCTATTAAATGTTGTTCAGTCTTTTTATGACACAATTTTGGGGTTTTTCTTGGCAAAGATGTCAAAGTGGCTTGACGTTTCCTTCTCCAGCTCATTTGACAGATGAGGAAACTGAGGCAAACAGGGTTAAGGGACTTGTCCAGGGTCACAAAGCTAGTAAGTGTCTGAGCCTCACATTTGAGCCTCACAAACCTATAAGAATCCTGGATGGACCTGTGTTCAAATCTCAGCTTGGCCACTTGCTAGCTGTGTGACCTTGGGCAAAGCTCTTAACCTCTCTGAGACTCAGTTTCTTTGGTACTAAAATGAAGGAATTGGACTATATGATCTTTTAAAAGTCCCTTTTAGCTCTCAATCTATGATCCGGTGCAGTAACTTTATTACCAAGTAGGTTTTACAGCTGAGAAAACTGAGGCTTGAAGAAACACAGATTTAGGGAAGGGAAAAAACATTTATATGGCACCTATTATGTGCCAGGCATTATGCTAAGCACTTTACAAATATTATTTCATTTGATTTCCCCAACAACCCTGGGAGATGGGTGCTATTATTACCCCCATTTTACAGATGAGAAAACCGAGGCAAACAGGGTTAAGCAACCTACCCAGGGTCACATAGCTAGTACACATCTGAGGTGAATTTGAACTCAGGTCTTCCTGACTCCAAGCCTAGCACTCTATCCATTATGACCCATTCCTGACCCTATTTCATGACCCCATTTTGGGGGTATTCTTGGCAAAGATACTGGAGTAGTTTGCATTTCCTTCTCCAGATCATTTTACAGATGAGGAAACTGAGGCAGACAGGGTTAAATGACTTGCCTAGGATCACACAGTTACTATCTGAGGCTGATTTGAACTCAGCTCTTCCTGACTCCGGGCCCAGCACTTTATCCACTATGACCACTACTTCATGACCCCATTCTTGGTAAAGGTACTAGAGTGGTTTGCCATTTCCTTCTGTAGCTCATTTTCCAGATGAGGAAACTGAGACACACAAGGTTCAGTGACTTGTCCAGAGTCACACAGTTAGTAAGTGTCTGAGACCAGATTTGAACTTATGAAGAGGAGTCTTTCTGACTCCAGGCCTGGAGCTCTATGCACTATGGCACCACCTGGAAGAGGACTTAGAGTTCACCTACTCCAGAAATGTCAAGCCCACAACAGGCCACAATACTCCCAAGTGCTACTGGAACCAGATTAAAACATAATCGGGAAATATTTCTTAAAAATAAATAAAAATACAATAAACCATAGATAACATCATATTTTAAAAACTAAGTCAATATGCAGCTCACAGGGATCTTTATGTGTGTATTAGTGGCTCCTGTTTCTATTTAAGTTCAACACCACTGATCTAGTCCAACGCCCTAATTTTACAGATAAGGAAACTGAGTCCTATCGAGGTTAAGTGGCCACATAAGTAATAAATGTCAGAATCAAGACTTGAAACGGAGTCAACTCTTTATTCCAAGGCCAGTGCTTTAGCATCCATCCCCTAGAGTGCCTACCACAGAATAGAAAGACCTCAACAAAAATTTGAAATACTTGTTCGTTAATTGACTGAACTGTAAACCCTGGGCAGGGAAATCTGCACCGAATCTGAATCCCAGACCTAGAGATCTCTCCTGGTCTCCCTTCTTTCACCTCCCCGGGGTGCCTAGAAAGTAGAACTCTCCACTGAAATCTGGGTGTTTAGGCCTGATTAGGAGAGAAGGTCGAGGGGGGTTGGGCCCAGACCAAGGTCCCACCCCTCTAGTCACCGATGCAAGCCTGTGGCCTGTCCCACAATTGTTCTCTCCTCCCTGACATTCTGAGGTGGGCAGGCTAGGCTGGAGAGGGTGGCAGGCCCTAGGGTCCATATAAGATTTATCTCTTCCAGACTAGGGATAGTTCTGTGCTAGCCTATTTGCTTTGTTACTCAGCGGGCAGCTGGTGCTGGAGAGCTGGGGTTTATTGGGAGGTGATAGAAAAAGGTTTATTGGGGGCACAGCAGGAAATGAGAGCAAAGGCCCAGCCAGGGCCATGGAACTAAGAAATAAGAGAAAGGACGTGAGTTGAGGGGGGTGGAGTGGGGTGGGGTGGGGTGGCTTGGGAGGTCAGAACCTAAGGTAGGAAGCTGCAAGGCATTTATTTATTGAGTTTGACTCTGAGTGAGAGAAATCTTCTGCCCAGCTCCACCATCATTCTCTTACCTGGGATCTCTGAAGATAAGGACTGACCCCCAACCCAAGGCAGGATTCCCTCAAGACTCCATTAATTTATCTCTTTGGCCATGTCCCAGAAGAGCAACTGGTTCCAGCCTCTTCACCCTGACTCTTGCCCTTTCTTTGCTAAGTCCATCCTTCACCCCTACACTCTTCCCTTGGGGATTCAATTCAACAGACACTTAAGCACCTACTATGTGCCAGACACCAGAAATATAAATAAGATATAGTTTCAGCTTCCCCTCCTTTCTCCTCTTCTTTTCCTCTCTCATCCTTCTTTTTTCCTTCCTTTTCTTGCCTTCTTTTACTCCTTTCCTCCTCTCCTTCTCCAATCTTATCTTTCTTTCCTATTCTCTTGCCCCTCTGGCCACCTTTCTCAACCATTCCTGTCACCACCCCAACTTCAGTTCCTAGAAAAATCTCATCCTTTCTCCTGCCTTCTCTCCCCTTAGCTATTTCTCTACCGCCCCCATCTCCTTCTCTTCCTCCTCCTCCTCCTCCTCCTCCTTTTCCACCCCCACCCCAATGTTCTACAATCCTTCCACTCCCCCTGGGGATATATCTTGCAAATCTTGGAATTTTAAAAAAAAGTTAAGCTTTGAAGAAGGGGTGGGGGTGGGGGTAAAATCCTTCACCAAACCCTCTGTATGCAAATGCCTAGTAAAATGTACAGACAGTCCTCACTGGCACGCAGACTCCACCTTTTTTCTGCTATGCCCACAACCCCACATGGCAAAGCAGTTTACCCTGCAGCTGTTCCTCAACTGCCTTCTATGTCCATGCTGCCTTAGTCCTCTGTCCCCACCCCAACTCCCCACTCTCCTGCCTCCATGCCCCTGCTTTTTCCCAGCTGGGTCCCTTTGCCATGGCTGGATCCTGGACCGTCGGTGTTCTTTTTTCCCCTCTGTCCAGCTCTAAGCTATGGCCACTGAGGAATGAGAAGTACAAATGTATGTGGAGCCCCAGACTTTGGAACCCCTTCATGTGGGGTTAACCGTCCCCCAAGCTCTGACCTCAGAGGGATGTTCTGAGCACAGAAAGAGGGCATTGGGATACCCCGGCAGCAGGAGGATTGTGTTTTGCTGTACGAGCACCAACAGCCATACATTAGGGGGTTCACTGGGCCCAAGACACTTCCCTAAACTGACCCCTGCCCAAGCCCAGAGGGTGAAAAGCCAGGAGAGAGCACTGTGCAGGGGAAGAGTGAGGGAAAGCAAGGGGATTCCCCTCCTCCACCAGGACCATGCCAAGTGTGGATGGCATCAGACACTTGCCACGTTCATGCTATTGGGGACTGTGTCTTCTAGCAGTTTTTCCTGTTCTCTGCACCTGGCATTGGACAGTGGGAGTAGCAGAGACAGACAGGTGGGCATGGCCCCCAGAAGATTAGGGAACGAGGTTCCAAACCCCAAGGGTGAATCCCAGAAGTTAAGATGGAAAATTCAGAATAAATTACATCCATGTTCTGGGGTCCTCCAGGAATCAACCCCACTCCCTACCTCACTCCTAGGACCCCCAGAGAAGCAGAGTCAGCAGCCCAGGAGAAGAACCAAGGGCAAAGTGACCTGTGTCATTTTGTGCCAGACTTACCCGTTAGATGTCCCGTGTCCAGGGAGGACTCAGGAGCAGCAGCACCAATCCCAGAGGCAAGGAAGAGGTGAGGGCAGCTGTAGGTGCTGGATTGTTTCAGCCAGGCATTAGGAGAGCAAACTGGGAATAGGGGGGACAAGGCAGGAGGCAAAGGCAGTGATGGGGCGTGGCACGGTGGGCAATGCCACCCTATATGCGGTACCCAAGATTGGGTAGCAGAAAGGAAGGGGAGACAGGTGTTCTGACTAAAGGCAATGCTGTCCTCAGGGTGCCACCTGCCCCCTGTCCAGTGCCACCTTCCAGGGCTGTGGCTATGCCCAGCCCCCGGGGGGTGGAAGGGGAGAAGTGCCCAGCTTGGGGGACGGAGCTGTCGGGGCAGCTCGGGAGAGGGTGGTGTGCAGGTATGTATTGGAAGGAAGTCAGCAGAGCCGGGAGATGAAGTGTTGGGTCAGAGCCTGATTTCCCATTATAAGTAATCCTTCCTTATTTACCTGAACAAATACTCTCCCTGCTTACCTCAGACCACAGAGATAGCTTGGAGTCTTAACCCTTGCAGGGCTGGATTCTTCCTTCCTCCCCCAAAACTTAATCCAGGAAGCTTTTCCGAAACAGCCAGCAAGGTTCCAAGGACCCAGAGGGCAAGACGTATTCCTGAGGTCACATTTCTTAGCCCTCAGACATCACAGTGGGATGTGCTAGGCCCTCTCTAATATGCTTATCATGTGATGCTGAATATTATAGTTGGTGCCTCATCCCCTATCAGAAGACTGTCAGCTATCTGGGGTAGCTACCATGCCTCTATCTAAATGTCCCATTTCCAGTGCCCAGAACAAAGAAGAATTTTAAAATGGTGGTTATTTTCTGTCTCCTAGCACGGTCTTGGACATACAGTAGGTGTTTAATATATACTTCCTAATCCATCTCTTGAGGCAGCCAGTGGCTCAGTGATAGAGAGCACTAGGCCTAGAGTCAGGAAGAACTGAGTTCAAATCCAGCCTCAGGCATTTACTAGCTGTGTGACCCTGGACAAGTCACTTAACCTCCGATTGCCTGGCAAAATGGATCCACTGGAGGAGGAAATGGCAAACCATTCCAGTATTTTTGCCAGCAAAACCCTAGATGAGATCATGAAGGGTCAGACAAGACTGAAACAAACGAACAACAAAAGTCTCTCTCTCTTCTCTTCCCTCCCTTAAAAAGATATTAATAATAGCCAAAGTCTCTATAGCACGTTCAAGTTCACAAATCCATTTCATATACATCTCCTCATTTCATGGCATCACAGATTCTAAACTGGAAGGGACTTCAAAAGTCATCAAATCTAACCCCATCATTTTATAGATGAGAAAATTGAGGTCCAGAGCAGTTACACGACTAGCTTAGAGTCAGAAAATAAGTGGCTGAGGCTGGATTTGAACTCAGATCTGCCTGATTACAAGTCTAATGAACTATCTTCTGTACCAATGGTATCAAACTCAAATAGAAAAGTGTAGAAGGTAGGTGTAGGGAGCACTAAACTGTATGTAAGGATCCCTGCAGGCTGCATATTGAATTAGAAAAACAAAATTTAACATTATCTATATTCTATTGTATTTTTATTTATTTTATTAAATATTTCCCAGCTAGGTGGTGCAGTAGATAGAGTACCAAGCCTGGAGTCAGGAAGACTCATCTTCCTGAGTTCAAATCTGGCCTCACACACTTGCTAGCTGTGGGATCCTGGGCAAGTCACTTCACTCTATTTGCCTCAGTTTCCTCATCTGTCAAATGAGCTTGCAAAGGAAATGGCAAACTACTCCAGTATCTCTGCCAAGAAAATCCCAAATGGGGTCATAAAGAGCCAACACAACTGAAAAATGATTGAACAACAATAATCTCCATTATACAGATGATAAAACTGAGGCTCAGAGAGAGTAATCTTAAGTGACTTGCTCAAATTCACATAGCTAGTAAACAGCAAAATGGCGGGAGGCAATGAGATTTATAGAATCTCAGAGTTGGGAGAGACCTCAGAAATCATCCAGTTCAACTCTGACCTGCTTCAAACCCCTTTCTTCTGTCTTCAAGTCCAATAGACTTCAAATTCCCCATTAGAACAAAAGCTCCTTGAGGGCAGGGCCCATGTCACATCTATGTATGTACAGTGCCTCCTACATGGCACTTTCTTAATAAATGTTTGTTGTATTGAAAAGCAATGAATTAAATCTTCTTTCCACTATACTTGCCTAAGTTTGGAGTCATAGCCAAAGGTCCTCCCCCTCGGAAAGGGCAAACCAGGGAGAAGGAAGGGGAATTCACCCTATGAACACTGCCCAGCTTTCCTCGCCCTCTCTTGTGTCCAGCTGTCTGTCCATTGACATTGTATTCTGCAGCTACATCGGGGAAGGAGCCCATATACAGTTTAGCTCTTAATTGTTCTCTCCTGACGTCCCTTATGTGCATGGGCCTTTTCCCCACCAAATACAAACTCCCTGAGGGCACTAACTTCTGCTGCTCTGCAACCTAGCACAGGGCTAAACACACAGAAGGCACTTGACAAGCATCGAGGTGCAGGGGATGATAGATTGCTGGCCCTGGAGTCAGGATGACTTGAGTTCAAAATCCTGCTTCAAACACTTACTAGACACGTAACCTGGGGAAGTCACTTAGCCCCATTCTGCCTCGGTTTTACCACCTGTAAAGTTGGGACCACGATAGCATCTACCTTACAGGGTTATTATGAGGATCAAATGAGATAATATTTGTAAAGTGCTTAGCACAGTGCCTGGCACATTATAGGTACCATCTAGTGTCTGTGTTGTTGTTCAGTTGTTTCAGTCTTGTCTGACTCTTAGTGACCCCATTTGGGGTTTTCTTGGCAAAGGTACTGGAGTGGTTTGCCATTTCCTCCTCCAGATCATTTGACAGATGAGGAAACTGAGGCAAACAGGGTGAAGTAACCTGCCCAGGTTCACACAACTAGGAAGTATTTGAGAGTCACATTTGAACTCAGGAAGATGAGTCTTCTTGACTCCAGGCCCAGCGTTCTATTCACTGCGCCACCTAGCTGCCCATTGACACACAAGTCCTTTAAAAAAAAAAAATGTTCAATCAGTTGAATTGAATTCATTTGAAACTTGCCTCTCTTCCTAGTTGCCAGATCTGGGCCTCAGTCTCCTCATCTATAAAATGAAGGGTTGGATTTACGTCCCCTGAAGCACCTTCCAGCTCTAAATTCATGATCCAATGATTTGCCATCTACAGTGGAAAAAAAATCCTCACCACCTGCTAATTGATGTCTGAAATTCTACTATTTGAGTTTTATTCCTTTGACTTCAGGCTTTGTTCTTGTTTGAAATACCAATTCTCCTAGGAGAGCTAACTCTTCAAGGTCATTGAGTTGATCAGAACCTTCTTTTCTGCCTCCTGGCTTTCCTGGCTTCCTTCAAATCCCAGCTAAAATCCCACCTTCTACAGGAGGCCCTTTCCAATCTCAACACCATGGCCTTCCTCTGTTGATGATTTCCAGCTTATCCTGTATATAGATAGCTTATTGGTACATAATTGTTTGCATGTTGTCATCCCCATTATATTATAAACTCCTTGAGAGCAAGGACTCGCCTTTACTGTTCTTCGTACCCCCAGCACTTAGCACAGTGCCTGGCACACAGTAAGTGCTTAATAAATGTTTAATAACTTACTAACTGACTAAAAGCAGGTTTTGGTAAGGGAAAGTGGAGAGATACTGTTAAGGGCTCCTGTGTCTCAGAAGACTCATCCAGAGTGCTTGGACCCTTTTTTTCTAGTCCTATCAGTCCCATTGATTTCTTGTGTTTAGTTTAGTGGGTTAGATGTTCTCTTGTGAGGTCAAATGTCCACAGATATTGACTGTTGCCTAACATTGACTGTTCCTAAGGAAAGAAGGAAGGAAGAAAAGAGAGAGGGAGGGAGGAAGGAACAAAGAAAGGAAGCAAGAAAAGAGAGAGGGAGGGAGGAAGGAACAAATAAAGGAAGAAAGGAAAGAAGGAAGGAAGGAGGGAGGGTAGGAAGGGAGGAAGTAAGGAACAAAGGAAGGAAGGTGGGAGGGAAGGAAGGAAGGAGAGAGGGTAGGAAGGAAGGAGGAGGGGAGAGAAGAAAGGAAGGATGAAAGGAAAAAAAGGAGGGAGGAAGAGAAGGAAACAGGCATTTATTAGGTTCCTTTTAAGTGCCAGGCACTGTTCTAAGTGCTTTACAGATATTATAGGGTGATCTGTCCAGTGTTACTCAGTTACGATAGTTAGTGATAGTTGGGCATTCAATTAAGAAGCATTTATCCAACCTTGCCCATGTGCCAGAACTCTAGTGTGCCAATCTAGTGCTCACTCCACTACACTGTGCTGCTATTTCTATAAAACCTGCCACGAAGCCCGGAGTTTTCTGGTATTACAAATATATGTCAGTCAGTCAGTCAATAAACATTTATTAAGTGTCCACTATAATCCAAACATTGTGCTCTTCTCTCTCTTTCTGTCTCTCTAAATATCTATATGTATATATGTTTATGTGTCTATAAAAAGAAAAATGAAAAAGTGTCCTTTATTCAGCCACCACTGTCCTACACATTGCACTTTGGTCAACCATCCACTTTGCCTACGCCTAGTTTTGCTTCTAGTCTGGACACCAAAAGGAAAACATTGCCCTTTGCTTGTATAAGGCCTTAGGGGAGCTGTGAGCACTGGTCTTGGAATCAGAAAACCAAAGGTTAAATCCAAACTTTACGAGATTTTTGACCCTGGGAAAACAACATGGGGTTATGCTCGATAAAGCACTTGCAGATTCTCTGGGCTGGGGGCTGTTACCTAGTTCCCTTGTTAGAGTATAGAGTGTCAGGGCATCAAAGGGTTCATATCTGATGAAATGAACCTTCTCTTACTGTGAGTGGGTAGAGCCAGTAGCTGACAAAGAAGTAAATATCTAACTGGGTCTAATTGGGCCCAAGAGTTTTCAGTTGAGTACAGCCTTTCAAATAGAACAAGGTACCACAAAGGATACCCATTCTGTAGCAAAAGCAATGGGGAGTTGGTCTGTAAAAGGGGCTGGAAGAGACAGTTGATCAGTATCATCCCAAAAAAGCGTGGAGACCATAGGACATAGATAAGCCTAGAGCAGGGGTGGAGAACCTGCAGCCTCAAGGCCACATGTGGCCCTTTGATTCGGGTTGCACTTGAGGACCTAGAGGGCCACATGTGGCCTCGAGGCTGCAGGTTCCCCACTCCTGGCCTAAAGACTAAGACTGTAGCAAGACTAGACCTGAATTTGGATTCCAGTTCTGTTACTTACTAGTAGTACAACCTGGGACAAGTTACTTCCCTTCTGTCCTCAGTTACTCTATCTGTAAAATGAAGGGTTTGGGTTAGGGTTATCTCGAAGTCCCTTCCAGCCGCAATTCCCATTATCCTAGTTCACTTC